AATAGCTGTTTTGGTGGGACGCATTGTAAGGGCGTTAGATGCGAAATAGGCTCAATTCAGTTTGATGATTTCCTCTAGTCGGAATTTCAAAACGGATAGTTGGTCTGGATGAGCGGAGTCTAGCAGCTGGATGTTGTCGGCATAGGACACACGACGTTCGTGAGGGAGGTAAGATGGACGGTCGTTCGTGAAGATGCTGAAGAGTAAAGGAACGACCAAGGATCCCTGAGGGATCGCTCATCATCACCTGCTGCCGACCAGCAAGGTAGTTCTCAAACCACTTCCAGTCAATGCCAGCTTTGTCAGAAGGACATTATGGTCGACACCATGAAAAGCTCGGCTCGGATCAATAGAGGTGACGGCGACGATGTTAGGGTAGAGATTTCCATTGCTTTAGACACATGACCCTGTTGTCTGTTTGCCCGCTTCCAATCGGAGGCTTCGCGGCGAATTCGTAAAACCTTACAAACCAGAAAAGCTTAGCCGCCTGTTTCTGATGCGAAAGCATGGACTTCGGTCCTCAAAAAATATATAAAAAGCTAGCGTGACCTATCTGAATATACCTGTGCGTACGCACCACTGGCAATGTTGGAGTATAAGACAATGTTTTTTGATTGATCAAGTTGACTGCGTTCCGGGTTTGGGCCTTATCGCTTGACTTAAGGCTGAAGTCAGTTGAAAATGAACGCCACAATGAGCGAGGTATCCAGTTTTGAACTATCTTCTTATAATGCAAGAAGATGTTGCTCAAATGGCTATGTATTATCATATCATTGGGGGTGTATGACACACTCAGCTGCTGAGGCTTTATGGCATCGCCTGCCTCTTACCCTGGCAAGAATGGCGGGCACCGCGGAGAATGGAACCCCGTCCCATGGTCTTCCAGCCGCGCAGTGGTTAGCGCAGACGCCTTAACCACTACACTACCGGCACCCTCGGTGACGTATTGCCCAAAATGGTCGAGTCCACCAATATATTCTATTCGCAGGATGACTGGGAGGCATAAGGGTCGTGGCAGTGGACTGATGTGGCATATGTAGCAAAAAAGCAAAAGAAAACAGAAATAATCCCAGCGGCACGCTTATTCGTGCATTACATGGTGCCGCAAGTCCGAGACATCACTCAATCGAGTCGTTTACGCCTCTAGCACTGCGCTGAAGTGAAGTGCGAAAGCGCCCTTTCCTGGTATGCTGACATGCCCACCGATCTCGTGATCCGGCCGGCCCCGGAGCTCTGGTCAAGGATTTACCGCGTTGAGAGTTTCACGGAAGTAACTGCACGATCACCAGCCAAAGGTTTAACCAGACAATGAGTTTTCGCTATGGCATGAAATGTCGGCTGATCCGCGTCTGATCCTGCTGCACTCACTCGCCTACTCGGCGCATGGGAAGATTCATCTGCTTTTAGAACAAGAGGAAGTGTTATGGACAAAGAAAAGTACACAGATTCTGGTGAGGGGAGGCGCAAAGGCGGGCAGCGAGGGAGGCACACAGAAGGGTGGCAGAGAGGCAAAGTGAGGGAGAGGGACAGATGCAGACACGGAGGCGGACATAGGCCAGACTGCGACAAAATTGGGAGTGAAGCAGGGAGTGTAAGTAGTGTGATGTCGCCAGTTTGAATACAGAAAAACAGAGCGCGAAGGGAAATGCCAACAAAGGACACAGTAAAAAGGAGATAAGGGTGTTGGGTTTGGCGCCAGCAGGGCGGCCGCGACCCATCGGGGTCTGCAGACCGCTGTTTGTTGGCGTCGGCTGCGATTCCGGTGCTCGCCTGATGCGGCGGCCGGCCGATGGCTCCACCTGTTTACGTCCCAGGAATGCCGCCCGCGAGACATGTTTACCAGCCGCGGACTAGGTGCACAGCGAGCCGGTAGCCGAGGGCGCCAGAGCGATCTGATATCACGACCTCGCAAGCTGCCGGCGCCACCGTGTCCGCCCGCTGCCGGTCGATGGCACGTGCGGACAGCGCTTGTGACCGCGAAAGGCATTAGCAGGGCTGATTGGCATGCGCCCGAGCCGTCGACCGTACCTAGCCGGTCTTTTGCGCTCGTTCGCGAGTAGTCTTTGTCGAAAGTGCTCGCGCTCATGTTATCGAAATTCCGGTTTCGACATTATGGACGTGGTGGGATAGTTCACTGACCCTTACCTTTTCCAGATTTGCCCTGGTCCCCCACCTGTCCGGTGCCGTGTAACAGGCGGTTCGGTCTGGCATGCCCATGAGTCCGCCACCGTGAAATAAGCCCCGCTCATCCGTGAATCGGGCGCCGTTCATGGGGAGCGACGACGTCCGCCTCCCGCCGGGCAATAATTTAGACGCCTCAATCCCCGCGGACCGCTGCGAGAGAAACCGGCGTGGGTCACGTGGTCCGCGCCGCGCCGCCGCACCGGTCACGTGACGCCCGCGGGGCGAACACCTGCACACGCGTCGCAGGCGGCCCGGCGCGGCTGGCCGGGCCCCGAGAGTGCGGAATTTGATACACCGCCGGCGAACGACCGGGAGGGGCGGCTGGAGAAGGATGGTGAAACACCTGGCAGACAAGGCCGGCCTGGGCGAGCTGGGTGGAGCGAATTTGTTACGTGCACTGGCAGGGCGGACCTGGATAAGTAGCATATTGCAGATGAACAACGCGCAGTGATCAGATATGTGAGGGAGCGCACCAACGAACGAAAATGAGTTCGGCCAGGATTTCTACTGTTCAGAAGCTTTGGACGCGCGCGGATGCGGCTCAGTACAGGCCGTCTTTGCAGCTGCGTGTGTTAATTTTTGTTCATATAGTTTTGGTGCCCCACCACACGAAACCATTATGGTTCAATGTTGATTAGTAACAGGTGCTCACACGCTTACGCACACTGCACGAAAGAGGTACCTATTTTAGGCAGCCTTGCGACCAATTTGACTACTCGCTGATTAGCACCTCCACCGCAGCACGCGTACATGCAGCATACCCGAGCGTGCTGATTCGCCAAAAACAACGAGCGGGGGTTTCCCCGCTCTAAGGGGCTGAGCGAGGAAACCCTAGCTTTAAATACACCAAAAGTTTCTTCCCCAGTTGGAATCACTTTCCTCTCAACGCAATAGAGTTGTAATCCCACCCTTCTGAGCAGGAAACGACAGCACTGCCCTAATACGTCTCCCCGCTATGCCTTGGCGGAGGATGCTGCCGTTGGGCATCACTATCATTTCATTTTATGTCGACCGTCAAAACCAGGTTTCGATGGTCGACGCAGGTCGATGTTGTGATGCTCCGACGTTGTTGGACGCGTGCAGCTTTGGGAGTGAAGAAAGTGAGTTTATGTGCGCGACCTGTGAAGTGTTGCCATGGAGACCTCAGCTGGCGGCCGTGAGGCGGGCTGCAGGCCGAACCACGGCTCTCGCGTCAGGCGCGTTCGACACGGCTGATGTTTTGGTGGTCATTGTCGGACGACTGTCGCTATCGGTGCAGGCGGCTGGTGTCAGTCGTCAATCTGGGCTTTGTTTTTGGTCGTAAAAAATGTATCGGATACGCAAAGAACGCAAAGAACTCATATTTTACACACCATATAAAACCCCTCACCACATTGACCTGATTGGCACACATATGCTTGTCCGAATTGTTCCGGTCTTAAGATGTGGAAGAGCTCACCATTAAAACCAAAGGGAATAGGAAATGATAAGTCATACATACTACCGTGAGCACACCAGCCAGTTCCTTGAACACACACACACACAGACTGAACAAATCACTCCTTGGCGCCTGAAAAACGCTTTGCGAGAACACGCATTGGAGAGTAGATGGGTTCTTTTGAACTGAATAACGTGTTTTGCATTAGGCTATTTAAGCATCCTTTGCGTGACGCTTCCTATCAGACTTTAACGTTCTAGACCGGTTGCTTTGAAGAGAACGTTTCGCTTTGATTGGTAGTTTTGGACTGAGATAGCCGGATTGGAATTTTTATCAACGGGCTCGCGGCGGCGACGGTAATAAAGCAATAAACTCATTTAGTTCCGGAGCGTGCAATCGATAAATCTGGAATATTCTACGCCTAGGATATATTCTAAGTCTTTGGCCAGAAAATATCCGGTTTTCAACACACTCTCAGATGGTGGCTGAACGAATTAATTAAACGGTAGCTGCGGCAAATATTCCCCGGTGAAATAGAACAATGTCGAAGATTGCACCGTCTGATCACATTTTGTTCTTTCTGACTTATCTTAGATTATCATCACTGGATTTCTTTGAATTACGTAGGATGCCTTCGATCGATATCAAGGATCTACGCATCCAGATCCTGTTATGTACATGCGCTCGCCTGAAATACGCAAGTTTTACGTCAGGCTTTTACTTGTAAAGCGTGCATCCGTAGAACGTGTACGTGCAACCACGGCGCTTCCCGCCCATACAGCGCGACTGGATGGTATTGGGCCGGGCCCCTCTCAAGTGTGACGTCATCAAGATGTGACGTTCTCCCATCGCCACTCGTGAAGTTTTCCATTCACAGCCTACTACAAAAAGCGCAGCAATACGTGTCGGTAGGGCCCCGCGTCGCTGGCGGGGAGCGGAGCTAGACAACTGAGCACCTTAAAATGAATTACGTCGAATAAAAGCTGAAGTATTTCTGGAATGAAATGAAATGGGAAGTGAAATGACTCGTTAAAATTACTGGTATCACAAATCACCGTCACGTTGTCCACCGGGGCCTGCAGTCCGCTGCCAATTATCACGATTGCACCGGAGCATATGAGAGAGTGGATGCAGTTCCGACTGCAGATACTGTTTTTTCACGGCGATCGCTGCGATACAGGCGTTTAATCTGTGGAGCTGGGACAGGAAAATGTGCTTGCGCCTAGTTTACTTTCATGCAACGTCGCATGGGCGATTTTTAATATGAACGAAGGTAAGGAGGCAAGCGGATGCCGCCAGGCAGACGGATGTCGCTAGGTAGGCAGATGCCTCTCACTGAACCTACCCCTCCCAAACCCATAACTGTGACACACCGCGGTCATATTAAAGCAGACCCAATAGCGCCATTTTAAATAGTTATTCTTTAATCACGGCATATTCCAAAAATGTGATGAACATGCGAGTAAGCGTAACCTGTTACCTGTGACAAGGACACGATGCACATAGCATTGCCAAATGTCGCTGAACCGGCGCAATGCAAAAACGCGACCGAGCTTCGCCATGTATCCGCAAAAATGAGCCCCAGAGCGCTCATCTGCACGACTTTCATCTTCATCCCCCCTCATACGCAGCTAACACACATCCGTCCACGCGCACGCCCCATCACCACCGCCGGCTGGCCGAAGGCGGAGGGGCCACTAGGTCGCCGGTGGCGCCACCTCGGCGTCCGGGCCGGTGGCCGGTGGCGCCACCTCGTCGCGCGGGTGGTGGCGCTCACAGTACGCGCGCAGCGTCTCCAGCCGTTCGGTGACGGGCATGCGCGGCGTTCGCAGCATGTACAGCTCGTTTCCGTAGGCCGAGTACTGGCGCTCGCCGGCGTCACCCAGCAGCCGGCGCAGCGCACGGTTACGCTCCAGCATCTGGCGGCGGCGGGGAGGCGTCCGGCCCCGTCAGAACGGCGCGCCGCGGGACGACCCAGTGTCGCGCCGATTGGATGATGCAGACTACAGACGCCACACGCGCCTCCTCAGCGGCAGGCCACACGATAACGCGCACTGCTCAAGATCACACTGGAAGAGGCCCACATACAGGCGAAAATCGCACCAGACCGATATTGCATTATCAGCACAGGACCCGTCAGCCTGGCAAGAGGCGCGCATCAGCGCTGCAAGACTGGCTGAGTTTCCTTCACACACCACACCACTGTGCGCCGCAGTGGCCGAAGCGAACGCCACAAGAGTGTGAGTTCCGACGGACGGGCCCCGCCGCCTCCTCCAGCACCTTCTAACTCACCTTCTCATAGAACTCGACACCGCCCCAGGCGTAGGTGGCCCCGAGCTGGGCGGCAGCCTGGTCAGCCTGGCTGTCTCGGTAGTGCTGCACCAGGTCCGTCACCGTCGTCCACAGCGCTATGCCGAACAGCGACACCAACGTGTACAGCATAAGCCGCAGCACCTGGAAGTCACAGGGGTCAGCCGCCAGGGTCAGAGGGTCAGAAGAGGGGCAGGTCCCCGCCGGAGAGGTCGCGTGAGGGGCAGATCAGGGCAGGAGGTTCCAGGCGCGGCGCCACACCATGCACACACGCAGCCTGGCGCTGGTGGCCATGCTAAGCCAGACACTGACAATGCGACGCCATTTCTGAATGCCAAGGAAACACGCCCCATCGGCACAGCGGCCTCCCTCGCTGGTGCGCACCATACCCGCGACTCTCGACCCGCACACCGCTCACCGTCCCCCACAGACATGACGCAATCCGTGCGATGGTTGCGACCGCTGAAAGACGGCCGGGAAAACACAAGGCTCATAGCTGCATTCTGAACGCCAATAACCCTTCCTCCTCTTCCCAAGCTTGTCTCTGTCCCTGTCCGTCTCTGTCTCTGTCCCTGCTCCCGTCTCTACCTACGTTCCTCTGTCTGTCTCTGTCCCCACCCCCATCTCTGTCTCTGTCCCTGTCCCTGTCTCTGTCCCTGCTCCCGTCTCTATCTACGTTCCTGTGTCTGTGTCTGTGTCTGTCTCTGTCCCTGTCTCTGCCTCTGCTCCTGCTCCCGTCTCTATCTACGTTCCTGTGTCTGTCTCTGTCTCTGTCCCTGTCTCTGTCCCTGTCTCTGCCTCTGTCCCTGCTCCCGTCTCTATCTACGTTCCTCTGTCTGTCTCTGTCCCCACCCCCATCTCTGTCTCTGTCTCTGTCTCTGTCCCTGTCTCTGTCCCTGCTCCCGTCTCTATCTACGTTCCTGCGTCTGTCTCTGTCTCTGTCCCTGTCCCTGTCTCTGCCTCTGACCCTGCTCCCGTCTCTATCTACGTTCCTGTGTCTGTCTCTGTCCTTGTCCCTGCTCCCGTCTCTATCTACGTTCCTGTGTCTGTCTCTGTCCCTGCCCCTGTCTCTGTCTGTCTCGGTCTCGGTCTCGGTCTCGGTCTGTCTCGGTCTCGGTCTCGGTCTCTGTCTCTGTCTCGGTCTCGGTCTCTGTCTCTGTCCCTGCTCACCACTCTATCTACGTGCCTGTCTCTGTCTCCGTCCCCGCCCCTGTCTCTGTCTCCCTCGGTGCCGGCCCTCACCGCCCCAGCTCACCAGAGGGCGCTGTGCGAAGCCCATGCGCCGGTTGGTGGCACGTCCCAGCGAATACGTGACGAAGAAGGCGCCAGTGCCGATGGCGCCGTCGGCGTACACGTGTGAGGCGCGGGCCAGACTCAGCTCGCGGGCGATGGCGAACCGCTGTCCGGCCGGCGACAGGCACAGGCCGTGACTGAGCAGGGCGCCCTCGCGTGATTGCCAGGCCACCTTCTGGCCACCCACCTGGCCGACAAAGACGGCGGTCAGGGCCGGTGTGAGGCTCACCACACATGGCGGGCAGCGCACCTGGGGAGAGGCCACCATATGGTGCAGACAGGTCTGAACATATGTGCACAGAACTCTGCACTGCAGTTTACAGCCACAAAGTCGACAAGCAAAAACGCGGGGCCGCGTGATGTAGCCAGTCATGGCAATTGTCAGGAACTGTACGACTGCCCAGGCCCCACAATTCAAGGCGGCAAGGTGTCGATAAAGACCAAACATGACTTCATCCGATGACACAATACAATTTGCTGGCTGGCTGGCAGCAGTGATGATTCTGAAGTCGCAACTGATTAGGCTGTCTCTCGGAGTTGTTCGAGCGGCCATCCTCGCCCACCCCTGACGACCATGATCCCCCGTCCATAACAGACAGATTCCCGCCCTGACGACCAGACTCCCCGTCCATAACAGACAGACTCCCGCCCCTGACGGTCGACTCCCGCCCCGACGGCCAGTCTCCCAGCGGCATCCACCCGCCGGTTGGATCACCCCCACGTCACCCACCCCGCGGTCCAGGTCAGCCTCCCAGGTGATCCACCCGCCGGTGGGATCAGCCTCCCACCGTCACCACCCCGCCGCGCGTGCCTTCACGTCACCCACCCGCGGGCTGGTCGCCAGCGTCACCCTCGGTCGCTCCAGCGTCACCCACCCCCGCACGCTGGTCGGCTCCCAGCGTCACCCACCCCGCGCGCTGGGTCCGCCTCCCAGCGTCACCCAACCCCGCGGGTCAGGTCAGCCTCCCAGCGTCACCCACCCCCGCGGGTCAGGTCAGCCTCCCAGCGTCACCCAACCCCGCTGGCGGGGTCAGCCTCCCAGCGTCACCCACCCCGCGGGCTGGGTCAGCCTCCCAGCGTCACCCACCCCCGCGGGCTGGGTCAGCGTTCCAGCGTCACCCACCCCCGCGGGTCAGGTCAGCCTCCCAGCGTCACCCAACCCCGCTGGCGGGGTCAGCCTCCCAGCGTCACCCACCCCCGCGGGTCAGGTCAGCCTCCCAGCGTCACCCAACCCCGCGGGTCAGGTCAGCCTCCCAGCGTCACCCACCCCCGCGGGTCAGGTCAGCCTCCCAGCGTCACCCAACCCCGCGGGTCAGGTCAGCCTCCCAGCGTCACCCAACCCCGCGGGTCAGGTCAGCCTCCCAGCGTCACCCAACCCCGCGGGTCAGGTCAGCCTCCCAGCGTCACCCACCCCCGCGGGTCAGGTCAGCCTCCCAGCGTCACCCCGCGGGTCAGGTCAGCCCCCAGCGTCACCCACCCCGCTGGCGGGGTCAGCCTCCAGCGTCACCCACCCCCGCGGGTCAGGTCAACCTCCCAGCGTCACCCACCCCGCTGGCGGGGTCAGCCTCCCAGCGTCACCCACCCCCGCGGGTCAGGTCAGCCTCCCAGCGTCACCCACCCCGCTGGCGGGGTCAGCCCCCCAGCGTCACCCACCCCCGCTGGCGGGGTCAGCCTCCCAGCGTCACCCACCCCCGCGCGCTGGGTCAGCCTCCCAGCGTCACCCACCCCCGCGCGCTGGGTCCGCCTCCCAGCGTCACCCACCCCGCGGGCTGGGTCAGCCTCCCAGCGTCACCCACCCCCGCGCGCTGGGTCAGCTTTCCAGCGTCACCCACCCACGCTGGCGGGGTCAGCCTCCCAGCGTCACCCACCCCCGCGGGCTGGGTCAGCGTTCCAGCGTCACCCACCCTCGCGGGTCAGGTCAGCCTCCCAGCGTCACCCACTGACCACAAATCCGCTGGCAGCCACGTCCTCGGCGTTGGCGAAGGCGAACGTCTGCGGCAGGCCGACGACGGCGCCCCAGCGCAGGCCCGTCTCGCCGGCGTGCGCCGGGTCGGCACCGAACGCCGTGAAGAAGCGCAGCTGCTGCCGCTCCTCGGCATCGACGGCCGCGTCGTCCAGCACGGCGTCCACGTGGCGTCGCAGCTGCGGGCTCAGCGGCACGGGCAGGCCATCCCTTGCGGAGGTCAGCCTCAGGTCAGCCGGCGCCCAGGGGTCACGAGCCAGGGTCACGGGTCAGGGGCGCATAAGAGTACGGCCAGATGGACAGGGTTGACCGAGATCAGGTGGATGCTGCCGCGAAGAACGATACAGACCATGGACGGGTGATGACAATGACGAAAATAATGGCGACGTCCGCGGTGATAAGGTAGCCCGAAACTCGCAAATGTTACATAATCTATGATCCGACATTTCGCAAGACCAATGTCTAGGATCAAGGAGGCCGACATGGCGCGAAATAGCATCACTTGACGCATAACCTGCGAGTTGGGCGATAACGGTGTGGACAGTGGATGAACTAAATATCCACGGCCGATCCAAAACCAATGATACTAAACAGCATGAATTCACTGCGAGGTGGCGGCCAAGGAATCATGCTTTTTAGTTCCAGTTCCTTAGAAATTTTGTAAAGATAGCCTAATCACGTTCTGCATTTTGGAGCGCACTAACAGACTATGACTCACGACCGAGGGTCAGCTGGAGCTGCATCGTGTCCTGCGACACGCCTTCGCAAAACTGAAGTAAAACACGACAAAACATGGACAAACACGGGCCACGACATGTCGCTATGTCGGAGCTGCGAGAGAGTGCGGAGCAGCAAGAAATGGGAGATTACCGCAAGCACTCCTTTTAAAAGCAATCAGGACCACCAGCAAATCGTTTTTGGTTAATATGCCCAGATTCGTTTGGAATCATCCCAGTTCACAAGTTTTCTTTTGATGCCAGTAATGATTATGCGTTGTTGTAGGTTCGTGCAGGCCACATTTGAAGCAAGCAGAAAGTGGTGGTACTTTCATGATTGCAATATTTCAGTCCATAAGATAAGGGCTGGAGAGGAAGTGCCATTGAAGTTTTTTGGTTGAAATGCTTGTCAGATCACAACTTTTTGTTTGTTTTAGATAATGTGGTGACAAAAAATATGTGTGACGAGGAGAATCAATTCAATCATGCACCAGTTTACACCACATGGAGTCCAGGCAGGCGGGTATGTGCGGGAGCTGGGGCGGGGCCGAGAGCCGGGGACTCCCATAGGGAGCCTAGACCGGCATGGATGTGCGGGAGCTGGGGCGGGACCGAGAGCCGGGGAACCCACAGAGAGCCCAGGCAGGTGGGGATGTGAGGGAGCTGGGGCGGGACCGAGAGCCGGGGACCCCACAGAGAGCCCAGGCAGGTGGGGATGTGAGGGAGCTGGGGCGGGACTGAGAGCCAGGGAACCCACAGAGAGCCCAGGCAGGTGGGGATGTGAGGGAGCTGGGGTGGGGCCAAGAGCCAGGGACTCCCATAGGGAGACTAGACAGGCAGGGATGTGCGGGAGCTGGGGCGGGACCGAGAGCTGGGGACCCCACAGAGAGCCCAGGCAGGTGGGGATGTGAGGGAGCTGGGGCGGGGCCAAGAGCCGGGGACTCCCATAGGGAGACTGGACAGGCAGGGATGTGCGGGAGCTGGGGTGGGACGAGGAGCCAGGGACCCCACAGGGAGCCTAGAGGCCTCTGCCTGTCTGGGCGGGATCGGGGCAGCCACCACGCCGATTCTCCCAGTAGATGGCAGCAGCACAACACGAGCCATGGCAGACCTGCATGGAGGCAGTATTTAAGAACACCTTGTGCACAACACATACAGATGAGTGATAAACCATCTAAGGTGACCTACCATGACCTTCCATTGCCATGGTAAGTCACCTTAACTTCCCTTTCACTCATCCCTTTAGCTTGGTGGTTGCTCACTTGTATGCCTGAAGAAATCTCTTGTATTTTTCAATGAAGAATCCATGTGGAAGCAGGTATCCACCAAAAATGCAGCCACCAGCAACACCCACAGCGTACTGAATGGCCCGCTCACTGATGTGAACACCCCGCAAGAAGTGAGCTGCCATTTAGCACCAAAACCCTGAAATTGAGGCTGTTTTAAATGAACACAACATGACAAACAGGAAAATAATCAAGAGATTCCAGCCAACCCCAATCATGACATCTACCCTGCCCCAGCCTGGGGCAAAGTGCAGAATATCCCATCATGTTCTCTGCTCTGCCCTTTCTCAACCCCACCCTGTTCTCCCTTGTTCTGTATCCAGTCCTCTGCTCTGTCCTCTGTGTAGTCCTTTGGCCTGTCCTTGCTGATCATGTTTTCTACCACATTTTCTCTGCTGTTCTCTGTCATTATTTGGTTCTGTCCTTTCCCCATGTGGACATTACAGCATGGTCCCATTCATTGCGACCTGCACCTGGTCATCCTGCATGTCCAATTGACCTTTACCATTTTGCCATCCTGTTACATATAATCCCCCAAAAATATTGGCTGGAATGAAAATCATCACTTAATGTTGGTATCAACTGCAGTTATCTACTCTGTTAAACCTGAAAACATAATACTGCAGGAACTCAAAACCTGGCAGACCCATGGTGGTCTTAGGAAACATAGCAAAACTGTGGCTCCTTACACTTACCTACCCAAAAATATATAGGCTGGCAAATCACCATCCAAACATTTAGCCATATACAAGATGGTACATAATTACAATGTACATATACAACCCTGTGGCCCACAAGTACTTAATGGCTCTCTCATCCATGGTTGCATCCTTGTAAAATAATTTTGGGGCTGAGTTGGCAAAAAAAGGCTAACTATGTGTTCAAGACACAAGAAACATGTTCACCCCAGAATTTGGTTCACATCCCCATCAAAGTTAGATGGCATGAGTCCCCCAATGAAAGGACACTGCGTCATGCTCCTATAAGACATGTAGCATAAAGTAACTTGCTCAACATACGTAAATGCATTCAGGAACAGTGTTACGATCGCAGCAGCATATCTAAAAGAATGTTAATTCTACTTAAAATACACACGTGCATCCCCTGATATATAAGCAGTCGGTGCATCTACTATGAACCCTAGATTTATAAATATAAGGGATACACATGTGCGCCCTACTTCGCACACCATCCACACCCGCCGCTCTTTCCCTAACGCCTCCGCTGACGCCTTCCCACCACTCTCAGAATATAGAGGACAAAACGGAAGGTACATCAGTTTTGGCCTCGCTCGCGTATTTATTGTATCCTGCGCCCTTCGAAGTCTGTGCAGCTAAATGCACCTCTCACCCTCACAACTCGAACTGCATGGGTGGAGTTCAGTAAAGGTTTTTGAAAGGTGATGAGGGCACATGGGGTTAGATCCGATGTTATTTCTTAAAAGGAAATTTTTGTTTTCAAAACCATCCAAATGCACGCAAACAGCGGCGGCACCGGGAGTTGCGAGTTAAGGCGAGGTAACTTTCCATAACTGTTATCGCTGGATTACGATCGACACACACACGCGATTTCGAATGTCAAATGTTCGACTAGGCCATATAGGAGCAGCCATGTGCCTCCTGCAGCGGCGAAGGCGGGGGGGGGGGGGACGCACAGAAGGCACGTGTCTCCCCTCCTTCCACCTTTAGGCTCCGAGGGGTCTCCCGGGACACACAATTGAAGGCCCGATCTGAATGACCGAAGGGTCCGGGAGGCCGACTGGAAGCGGTATTCGGAGGCCCCGGCCCTGCGCGCTGGATATCCCAATGCCAGCCAGAGGGCGCTGCGCACTGATCCAAACCCCCCTGAGCCGATAAGGACCTATACGCCAGTCAGACACCGCCAGCAACGATCAGCAGGCTCGTGTCGGCGTGGGGCCGTATATCCATTTCTTAAGCAGGGGCAAAGCCGAGGACAAGCTGTTCTGAAGAGTAGAGGTTGTCGACCATAACGTATCGACTGGCGAATGTTTTGTGCCGACCAGCCGCATAACCTCGCAGCATGAGTGGCACGGAGCCGCCTACAGATTGTACCGGCCGCTTAACTATTCCCGCTTAACGCGCCGCCCACGCGACAATCAAGCTCAAAGGCACCAACCATAGTTTTGTTATATTATAGATGGTGTGCTAATTCAATATTGTAGTCAGCTGGTGATACGGAATAACACACCAATTTCCCTTTTTGCTTCGTGAAACTGAAATAGATTTAAACGCAGTAAATAATTATTTATCTATATATCAAAATATGGTAACTATTTTGAGGTGGAGGACACACATATTATGCTAAATTATCGTAATTAATGCGTAGATGGCATTCCTCGATGAGAACATGGCACAGTTAGCTGTTACAATACCTGCCGTGTATGAATATGTTACGCCACACGAACGTATAGGCTGAAAAGGTGGGCGAATTGCCAGTCATCTCCCGGTGCATTTGTTTCGTTGTGTATTCGTGTTTTTCGCGATATCGGTGTCGGGACTCTAGGGCTTTGTGTCGGGTGCCTAGGTGCTCGGCGGAGAGCTGGAGAGGACAATCAGCGCCACTTGTGGAGGTAAAAAATGTGCATATATAGAGAACACGTTAAGTGTATTTAATCCGTCCAATGTTGTTGGCAGCTCCTGACATTTGATTTATTCAACTTTCCAAAGCGGTTATCTCCACACGCTTGTAAAACGGAGGGAAATTTTATTTAATGGGCAGAAGTTTTGAATTGTACCAATGAAGGATCAATAGCAGCAATTATATCACTTTTGCACATCTTTTGTGCCACACAACTGATGGTTTGGCAGAAATTACTGCTGTGGGTATTTACCTTATGCTGAATATTGTTTTCATTGTGTGCATCAAAATGTTGCTCAGAGTGACAAAGGTGTGCTACTTAAAGTATGTCAAATGTAGGGACAACAATGAAGCTGTGTGTGTACAACTGATATTGATACGCATATACAATGTGCATGCACCTGATGTGAAATCTTGTTTGGTGCACAGTTGCTGCCAATTTTAGTGAATGGGTAGTGGATGTTTCAGAGAATTATGATGTTGTAAAGAAAACATTGTACTTAGTATTCTTGAGTGAAATATGCCCTCACTATTTTTCAAACAAGCTTTATTAAAAACTGAGTAATTTGTCCTGGCTTGTGTTCAACATATGCAAATGCTGGGCTCAGTACACAGATGTTGCATAGGTATCAATGGCAGCCTATAGGAAAGCATTGTTTATGACATGCAAGCATTATCACTTCCATTAAACATCCACCTTGTCTCCAGGTTTTGTTTAACAGAGGCACTTTTCAGATACCACCGACTGTTCAAGAGAACTGAAAGGGCTTACCACAGATATTCACATTTGAAGCATGCCTAGCTTTACAGGTAAGTAAGGCCACTGCCAGCTACCATTCTGTGTTTTGTGACATCATTGAGATACCCCCATATTTAGCATGAGGTGCATTAGGTGTAGGCACACATTGGTACCTAATGTTAGAAAAAATAATTGTACATCATTTGTCATGTTTAAGGTGGAACATATCATAAATAATCATAAAACAGGTAGATTCATGCTCCTACTTTCAAATTTTAATAACTACGATAGCAGGCTCCCAAGCGATGCATGCACCCCACTGCCATTTCTGCGTTACCATTGCATAATTACAATATTCTTGCTTATCAAGAACTATAGCAAATGTACGGGGCCAAGGTTGCAATCACAATGCTATGAAAAACGTTTCTTATCGCGTCTAGGTACATTTATGAAATGGACAGGCCAGAATAGTCCAGAACATAGCCTAAACTGGCCTGACCTAACCTAACCTAACCTAGCCTTACCTAGCCAAACCTTATCTAGTCTAGCCTAACCTAACCTAACAATCTAGCCTAACCTGACCTGACCTGACCTGACCTGACCTGACCTGACCTGACCTGACCTAACCTAACCTAACCTAACCTAGCCTAGCCTAGCCTAGCCTAGCCTAGCCTAGCCTAGCCTAGCCTAGCCTAGCCTAGCCTAGCCTAGCCTAGCCTAGCCTAGCCTAGCCTAGCCTAGCCTAACCTAACCTAACCTAACCTAACCTAACCCCCAATGCAGTGTCCCATTGGCATACATGTTCCATGCTATATGTGTGCTGTATTAGGAAGTTTTGTTTAGCCACCATATTCTCATTTTGCTTTTCATTCCCGCCCCAAAATGTCATATTTCCACACCATGTTGACCAATCTACAAGCAATATGGAAGGACTGCTTTGATATGCAAGAAACAGGTTTCATTGGATTCTTGTTACCTTGGCCTTGTACATTTTTATGGTTCTTGATGCACAGTAATGTTGTGATCATGCAGTTATGTTGTAATCACGCGTAGCAATGGTGCCGGGGTCGCGGTTGCTGCGTGTTTGCGGCGGTCGGGTGTTCGCTGTCGTAGTTATTTAAGTTCCAAGGTAAGAGTTTAGATGACCTGTTGTACGATTAATTACGATATGTTCTGCCTTAAAAACGACAATTGATGTGCAAAGCTCCTTTTTAACATGAGTTAGCAATGTATACCCTGACCTTAAAGTCAGTCAGTAGATGACAGTGAAAAATGTGCATGCATCTAAAGGATGTTGTAATTCAGCTGTCCCTCTTTGTTTGCAGTGAAAGTGAAATGGGGCAAAGAACTGTTCAAGGATGTGGAGCTGAACACAGATGAAGAGCCAATGCTGTTCCGTGCACAGCTGTTTGCACTGACTGGGGTACAGCCTGATCGGCAGAAGATCATGCTGAAGGGCATGACACTGAAAACAGAGTCCTGGGACAATGTCAAACTGAAAGATGTGAGGTTCTCTGCTTTGAATTGTGATTCATGACCATTATCCATGTCCAGGGAAAAAGTTGGATTATGGCTGCCAGTTATCCAACTTAAAGGAAGTGTTGCACATTTATTTGGGGTTTTAAACTGAAAGAGCCATCTTGATTGTCATTCAGTGCAGTTCACAGCCGTGGCCTGTTTAAAACCAAAACCTGTCTAGTTCCTGAGCTGCACTCCCATGAAGATTGGGGGACTATTTCAGGGAAACTACTTCAAAACCACCCAGCCATCCATGATGTTAAAATAATGTCATTTGAATCTTGCCATTCCATAAGTTTTGTGGCAGTTAACACTAAAAATTGAAGTTCTCAGGCTGCTCATATCAGATGCTAATGAGCACCATTTCCGGATATAACAGCCATGAATTGGTTTTCAATCAAAGTTGTGTGAGGTGAGATGATGTAACCAAACATTGATGTATTTATGAACATATTTGCTGCAGGGAAATGTTTCACAGTCGAATACATTGAAACAAACATCAAATATGGTGTAACAAGCTCACTGATAACTATTGGTATACTTTTCAAATGGAAAAGACTGCTTTAGACAGCACAACTATCTGTCAAGTAATACACTGATGTGTCATGGCTCATTACATCATTGTACCCTGCACAACACCAACTGAGGGCCAATGGACAGCCATTATATCTGGAAATAGTGCTCATGAGTGTCATATATGAAAGCCTTGATGTCACTTTTTTGACATGGTCATCACATGGCCTATGAAATGACAGAATTTGAATGGCATTGTAATGTTATGAATGCCCATGTGATTTGAAACGCTCTCCCCAATAAACCTTTCCCCATTTTCGCGGGCATGTAGCTCGGAAAGTAGAGGTGCATAGGTCTTAAAAATGATGGCATTGTGAAAAGTGAGCTTATTTCATCACATCTGGTGCTTGTTTTGATATGTTCAAATGTGGAACATTCTCTTGAAAGCCTGTGTTCTGGGTCCATATGGCACCAGTGGTGGCCCCAGGCCTGGCTGATGCCAGCTATGTGACGTGACCATGGGCAGTGGGCGGCGTCGGCAGGCAGTGTGGCCCGCTGACCTGACCTCTTGCCCTGCGCAGGGCACCACGCTGCTGATGATGGGCAGCAAGGAGGAGGACATTGCCCAGGTGCCGGCAGAGCGCACCAAGTTCGTGGAGGACATGACGGAGAGTGAGCTGGCCACGGCGCTCGAGATGCCGGCCGGCCTCACCAACCTCGGCAACACCTGCTACATGAACGCCACCGTCCAGTGCCTGAAGACCGTGCCCGAGCTGACCGACGGGCTGCGCCAGTTCAAGAGCGGATACGGTGAGCGGCCTGCTCGGAGCGCC